TTGATAAATGCGTATTTTAATCCTATATGGCAAATGGTTTTTCCTTATTTTTACTTTGTAATAATATTTAAGATTTGAGGTGAAATCAGTCTTTTCATTTATATTTTCTCCGTTTGTTTTTATGCTGAAAAAACTGCTTAACTCTGATGTCAGATAAATACTATATTTACTTATAATTCTTTGGTGGTTTTAAAAAACACTGATTCTTTAATCCAGCTAAGATTTATTTTGGCATAGAGTAAGAGATAGAGAAATAATTTTTATGAATTTTTTTTAGCAATTGTCCTATCATCATTTACTGAATAATTAAAATGTATGCTCAACAGTGATTGGAAAACAGCACTTTATAAAAAAAACTGGTCTGTCTGTACCAGGGATTGTTGCTGGGTTTTCTGTTCTTTTCCTTTGATTGTATATTCTTGTGGCAGTGGAGATTGGTTGTGGTGTGCTGTGGAATCGGTTCTGACTCATAGCGACCCTGAATAGAGTTTCTGAGGCTGTAGATCTTACAGGAGCAGAAAGCCTCATCTTTCTCTTGCAGAACATCTGGTAGTTTCGAACTACTGACCTTGAGGTTAGCAGCCCGACTCATAACCACTATGCTATCAGAGCTCGTTTACTGTGTCAGTAGTGCTGTAGTAATTATAGTTTCACAATATGCTGTAGTGACTGGAGATGTCACCTACCCCCTGCAGTGCAGTGAATTGCTTGGTGTGGGTCTTCTAGCCATGGTCTCAGGTGACTAAGTCAGACCCTGCAGATTGAGTGTTTCCGGATTCTATACCAGGACTTCATAAGCCTCAGCAATTCTGCTCAAAGTAGACGCATAAGAATTGAAAGCACGTAGTTGTACACCAGTATTTATTGGAACATTTATTGACAGTAGTCACAAGGTGGAAGCAACCCAAGTGTCCATCTACTAATAAATGACTAAATAAAATGTGGTATATACATATAATGGAATGTTATGCAGGCATGAAGAGAAGTTAAGTTGTGATATATGCTGCAACAGGTATTAACCTTGATAACGTGTGAGTAAAATAAGTCAGGCACAAAGGGCAAGTACAATATGACCCCATATATATGAATGTCTATTATAGACAAATGCAGAGAGGCCACAACTATTCGTGGTTACAAGGGACAGGGGGGCAGGGAACATTAGGAGGCATTGCTTAAGGTGCACTTCTGTTAAGGACGATGAAAAGAAACTGGAGATAGATAGTGATGATGGCTGCACAACACTAATGTCATTGAATTGTAGCTTGGAAGTGGTTGAATTAGCAAATGTTTTGTTTTGCATTGTTTTTAAGTGCAGTCGAGTCAGTTTCAACTCTGTATAGTGTTTCCGAGGAGTGACTTGAACTGCCAACCTTGAGGTTCAAACTGACCTTGCAGTCCAGTGCATTAACCCACAGTGCCACACCAGGACTCTAGCAAGGGATAATTCAACATGTATATTATTCTCTGGAGTCCTGGTGTGGCATTATGGTGAACTATGCAAAATTCTGATAGCTCTCTAAGATTTTCTTTATATAGGATCATGTCATCTGAGATTAGGGATAGTTTCACTTCTCCCTTCTTGACTCAAATACTTCTTAAATGTTATTTTTTAATGTTTTATTGTGAATTATGTGATAGTTTACATGAGAGAACATTAGTTTTACATTCATCCAATCATATATCATTTCGTTGCCATGGTTAGAATCCCCTCCATGCATCATCAACCCACCAAAGGGTATACCCTGCAAGCCTGCCCCCTGGTTGTCAGCACACAGCCCCTCTCCCTCTCTGGGTCTAAAGTCCCCAGCTGCTCCATCGTCTCTGCCTCCATCTCTGACGTCACTGCTTCTCTGGGTAGGTAGGGTTCTGCTCTCTGCTCTTCTTTCTTGATGGTCCCAGGGACCTCTGCTCCTAGATTGCAAAGTTAATCACTCCCCTCCTTGCTACAAAATGTCTACCTTTACATTTCCAAACCTCACAATCAGTCCTGATAACAATTATTCACTATTGTATCACAAGAGACCTATCCGCATTTCCTTTCATCAGCCGCACCCAGACAGATTGGATACTACTCAGTGGAGATTCTATCTTCCTCTATGCCCTCTGGATCTAGGTTCCCTCTTGAAAACTTGTAAGCCAGTCACTTCTTGCCTTTGTAGCCCCCCCTCCCCCATTTTGGGTAGCCAATGTCCAAGTTGCCCATCCCTGTCTACCCTTTGTATTGAGGGTGCAGGAATTTTTGCTGTAAAGATTTGTTCCCTCTTTTGGGCTACTGCATCCATAGGTGTAGGTCAAGTTCATCAAATTGTATCAGATTGCTTTTCCTTCTTTCTTCTTCTAGTTGATCTCTGTTCATCCAGCCATTGAAGCCAGGTCAAGTGGATATTATCTGCAAGTGTGGGTGTTCTTGTGTATATGCCCTTTTCTTATCAGCTGGACGCTCTTAAATGTTTTTCTTGCCTCATTTCTTTGGCTAAGACATCCAGTACAATATTAAATAGCAGTGGTGAGAGCAGGCATCCTGTCATCCTGTCTTAAGGGAAAGGCTCTCAGTCTTTTCCATGGAGTATGATGTTAAACTGGTGTGGCACTGTAGGGTCAGCACAGGACTGTGAACCACTCAGTCAGTGGTTCAAACCTACTAGCTACTCCTTGGAAACCCTATACAGTGTTGCTTTGTGTCAGAACTGACTCGATGATACATAACAGCAACAACAGACAATATTATGCTACGCGTTTCCAAGGAGCGGCTGGTGAGTTTGAACCACTGACCTTGAGATACAAACTGATCTCGCATTCCAACACATTAATCTGCAAGCACCACATAGGGACATAGTGCTTTTTCTGCATCATTTGAGATGATCATGTTTTTGTAACTTCTCCGTCCAGTCCTCACCTCCCTGGGGCTCCAAACAGGTCATCCCAGAGTAGCCAGCACAGCACTTCATGGCTCCTGAACACTCAGGGTCTCGATTTCTGTTTCTTCTTGAGTGCATTTCTATAGATGAACTGTTTCTAAAAACTCGTCTATTTCATCCAAGTTATCTACTATTATTATTATTATCTTTTACTTACAATGCTTCCTAGTATTTCCTTATGATCCCTTTTCTTTCTATAAGGTTGGATATAATGTCTCCACTTTAATTTCTGATTTTAGATACTTGCATTTTCTTTCTCTTTTAAAGCCTTGCCAGTTTTATTGATCTTTTCATTAAATGTAATCTTTCACTAATGTGATTTCTTTTTTGCCAAGTTATTCAAAAGCATAAAATATATTGTGTTTTACGTCACCACTTATTTCTCAAAAGAAATCACATGAAGAAGGTACTGTTTAACCCAAAGGGGTGGAGTGCTAATGGAGAAACCTCAGGCTTCTGCAGAGGAAAGGTTTTAAAACCAAGGGTCACCCACTAGCTGTTGCCTTACAACTCTTTAGATATTTCTGGGAGATAATTAGGCTCCAAGATCCCTTAGAGAAAGGGGAGGAAGAGTTGCACGGTAGGACTCAGGATCTGACTGGTAAAACTGTCAGGACTGTTAGACCTGAGAGCCCCCTTGGTCAGCCTTGAGGGAATAGTTGGGGTGAATGTGGGTGGTCCTGCAGGTGTGGAGGAAGGATTTCGAGATTTCTAGGGTCCAGTGTGGCGCCTGTGGCTGTCAGGTATGATGTTGGGTTCTTATTAATTCATCTGGGGAGTGGGCCTCCTCTTCCCTTTCCCACTCCCCTTCATTCCTAGGATAGGTCAGAAGGGGTCTTTTTCTCCTCTACCTGGTGGCAGCGGAGTCCCAAGTTTCCCCAGAGCTTTTAGGAGACCAGAAGTAACAGGACCCAGAAACATGCTTGGCAGACAGGGCTCTTTATTGATCAATGAATGGTGTTCTTAGGCACCCTGGTGGCAGAAACAGTGGGGGGGTGTGGTGACCTGGAACCAGATAGGAGCCTGCAGGCCCGCTACTTCCCAGGGTGCACTGCAGACAGGTCTCACCTGGGAGAGAGGAGGGAGTTACCTACATGGGGCAGCATTGGTCGGTGTACACATCCAGTTTGCTGCCCTTCCTCTCTGAAGTGTAAGATTTTCTATAATAGGATAACAGACCTCCTGTTATCCCTCCATCCCTGCAGATACAGAAGTGGCTCCTCTATCCCCTCCTCATTCCCTTCTCTCCTCCGTCCAGTCCTCACCTCACTGGGGCTCCAAACAGGTCATCCCACAGTAGCCCTCGCAGCACTTCTTGGCTCCTGGACAGTCAGTGTCTATGTAGCAGAGTTTTGGGGGGTTCACCTTGGTGCACTTGATCTCGTTTACGGGGCAGACGCCACTCTTATGGATAATCTTGGAAGTTCTGTGTTTGCCTTGGGCTTTTCTTTTGACTTTACGTTGAACTCTGATAGGATACTGATTTTGACTTCTGCTTCTGATTCTTCCTATGCCTGAATCTTGGTCTAGGATTTGACCTGGATTTTCTAAAAGGAGGGAGGCCTGTATTCAGCCCTGCTTCCACTACCACATTCTCCCATGGGACCAGCTGCCACTCACTGTGTTGACCCCAAACTATGATCTGGAATGTGAGAGGGGCACAGGAATTAGAAAAGGAAAACCAGCCCCTTGGGTCTGAACTTTTGGGAGACTTTTTCCTTTCTTTGGGGAAAGGAATTTCAGGACAGGGTTGCCTAGCTCAGCTTCTCAAAACCCAGGACTCCTCGGGGCCTGTGTCAGGTGAGAGCAGCTTCCAGAGGTAAAAAGGACTTAGCACCAGCTCTAGGAAACTCTGTGTGTGTGTGTGAGTGTGTGTGTGTGAGTGTGTGTGTATGTGGGGGCGGGGGGCCGGGTGAGACCTGGGCTCCCGTTCTGGCTCTGAGATGGCTTGGCATGTCTTTCCTCTCACTTTCCTACTTCCTACAGTAGGAATGTTCAGACTAGTTCATTTCTGAGGGCCTTGCCATCTCTTAACCATCCCTGCCCACACCATTACACAAAAGACCCATTCCTCATACACTTTCATGGGGTAGACACGGCGGTGGAAGCGAGAGCACCATACCTGGGGTGCAGGGGCTCCTCACCTTTTTTTAGCTGCTTCTTGGGGATCACACACCTAAAGCCACATTCCATAAAGCAACACTTCTTATTCCCTTCACATTGATTGTCTCTTTGACACCGGGGATAATCAAATATGAAGCACAACCTGTTGTCAACTGGGCAGATTCCTGCTTTTTCTTTATCTGGTGGAAGAGGCCACAGCGGTGAGATGGCGGGGTCCAGTCCTGCCTAGAACTCCAGAAGGTCTCTCAGAACCTCCCCTAATCCAGCCCAACCCCACCCAGGTCCACCCCATCCACTCACCCTTTTTGATTCTTTCCCCAGACACCAGAGTCACAAACATGAGAAACCCTATGAAATCCCAGAAGCTGGTGGGCCTCATGATGCTGCAGAGGCTTGGCTGAGCGTTGAGGCTGAGCCCGGCTTTGTGTGATCACTGCTGGGTGTGCCATGGGTGGGGCCAAAGGGTCACAAATGGCAAGGGCTGCACTGGCCCAGCTTTCTTAGGGAATTTCTACCCTTTTCCAGGGAGGGGGAACAGAAGCTGGGTCATTATGCTGACTATGCTAAGACCTGACCTTCTTCCTCTGTATCAGAAGAGCTCTTTGTTCCTTAGGAACTACCAGGATCAAACGTTTTTGAAAGATGAAACAGGTGCTGGCAAAGGAAGGCAATCACTCAGAGAAAGGAAAGAAGGTCACATAGCTCAGAAGTGGCCTTCTCTGTTCACCCTTCGTCACACATGCCTTATTGCACACCATGATCTTCACTCTTCCTGTCTTGCCCCCTGCTTGTCCCTGAGTTGTTTTCTGACCCCAGAGAAGAATCTGAATGACTGCTCAAGATGCCTTGGGCCTCATGTCCATGCACTCAAGCCTTTAAGCTCTAGCTTCCACCTTTCATATTTCCTTGACCAGCCCACCTCATGGCTGCCTCTGAAGCAGTGTGGTGGTGGTGGGCCATGGAGTCGATTCCCACTCAGTGACCCCGAATAGATTTCCGAGGCACTCAGTCTTTACAGGAGCAAAAAGCCTCATTTTTCTCCTGTGGAGTGGCTGGCAGATTCAAACTGCTGATCTTGGGGTTAGCTAGTCATCCACTGCCTACTAGAGCTCCTCTGAAGCGTTGTGAATTTGGGATCTGTCGCCAGTTTGTGTCTTTGCAAGTGGCTCTACCTACCTAAGCTTCAGTTTCCTCATTTATAAAACAGGCATGTTCTCCAGAGGGATCTTGAAAGCAAACCAGCATCTCTGTGTCTTACCGTGGTTCCCTAACCCCTAACAACCAGGACATTGAATCCATTCTCTGGATTTTCAGACTTGGAGCCTGGTGGCTGTTGGTGCTGGGAGTGAGTGTACCTCTACAGCTTTGCAGGGAGAGGGGATACTGTCATCTAGTGGGTTGCTGCTAAACAGCCGCATGAATAATCTCTTTTAGAAAGATCAGCACCAGCTACTCACTATGAGTTGGAGGTTAAAGATATCCCAACTGTTGGACTTTTCTGACATGTCATACCCCTCTATACTCCTTGCTGTCAATTATCAGTCCTCCCCTCCCTCAAGTCCCAGGGCTCTGCACACCTGCAGTGTCTCACAGAACTCACAGCTGTCAAAGGAAATGGCTCACGTAATTGTGGAGGCTCTTGTTATGAAGTGCAGTCATGACAGTTCCGACTCATAGTCACATTGTATCTGGTTTCCAGAGAACGGCTGGTGGGTCTGAACAGCCAACCTTATGGTTAGCAGTCCAGTGCTTATCCTATATGCAGGTCCCAGATCTGTAGTTCAGAGGTTAGTCTGGAGAAATAATCCGAAGCTGAGGAATTCACATTAGCAGGTTAGGCCATGTTGATTCATGAGGGAGTTGGTGGATCAGGTCAGGTGGTGGGCTGATAGTCCTACAGATTGGACATATGAGCCAGATGCAAGATCTAGGAAAACAGAGTGAGCATTTCCAAAGCAATTCTATAAACTGGAGTCCCCAAGGGAATCTAAGGGTGGTGAGTTGAGTTACACCCTCTAATAGGAGGGGAGCATCCTTAATCATTAGTTGCATTGTAATCCTTACTCTTTGTTGTTTTTAAGTGCCATCAAGGTGGTTCTGACTCATAGTACTCCTATATATGGGTTTGAACCACCGACCTTGCAGTTAGTAATACAGTGCTTATCTTACAGTGCCACAACCGGACTCCTTTAGTCCTACCCTAACCTTTATTTTAGACTCCTAATGTGTGCTGTAGGATCAGCACTGGACTGCGAACCACACAGTCAGCAGTTCAAACCCACCAGCAGCTCCTTGGAAACCCTATATGGGGTCACTATGAGTCAGAACTGATTTGACAGCACTTAACAACAACAACCTTTACTCCTTAGCAGCTCACTTCAAAATGTTCCCATAATCACAGGCATAGGGCCTAGGATTTATAGTACATCACAGGATGGAGAAATTCGGCTGGAAGGGTCCTGATAAATAATGAGCTGCCCTGCAGTGTGCTGTGGTACACAGGGATCTCTTACAAAAAGGAATTATCCCACCTAAAACATCAATAGTGTTTCTAGGTTGAAAGACCCTGCTCTTGAGGAATACCTTATAATGTTTTAAAATATAACATTTATGTATGTATTTTTTCTGATTATAAAAGATTCTTGTTCATTGAAACAAATTGAAGAAATGAGAAAGGAAGAAAGCAGACATCAGTCATGTAGTAACATTTATGATGTTTTCTGTCTAGTCTCCTTCTGGGAAGAGTGCCCACACTTTGAGGACTTTCTCCTCTTTGAACTGTAAGGGCCATTCATGAAAGCCCAACTATCCCCAACTCCTCCTGACCCTTTGAAGCCTTTTAATTGGCACTAAAGAAAGAGAAGTCCTTTCTTTTAGTGAAGAGATGGAGGCAGAGATAATGACGTGGAGAGATGGAGCAGCTGGGGACTTTAGACCCAGAGAGGGACAGGGGCTGTGTGCTGATGACAGGGTGGGGGGGCTTACGGGGTATACCCTTTGGTTGGTTGATGATGCATGGAGGGGATTGTAACCATGGCAATGAAGTGATACACTAATGTTTACCCATGTAAACTATCACATAATTCACAATAAAACATTTAAAAAAAGAATTCTAAGTAATACATATATTTTGAAATGGGATGTAGTCAGAGCTAACACCTAACATGTGGGAAGGGTTGAGATGTGATTGACAGAAGGGCAAGGAGGAGCCTCCCTTCTCTGGAAGGAGGGCCAGCTTCCTTAGTGGATAGTGAAACATTGGATCCAATATCACCAATTGTCTCCTTGGACCCAGATCATGTGTGTACTAGGGCTGAAGTCTGGGGAGTTTATGGACAAATCCCATGATGTTGGAGGGTGCTCACTATTTCCTCCCCTTTAGATTTTTGTTAGAAAGTTTAAAATTATACTAAAAAATAGAGAAAACAGAACAGTGATAGCTGACTCACAACTGGATGGTTTAACAATAATTTTTAGTGTGTTATATTTATATACAAGAGTAAGTAAAAAAATATTGCTATGAAATCATAGAAACCGTTATTAAACAAAAATATCAAAATGTGAAGCTGTTGCTTCTTGACCTCCCCTCCTAGATGTGTATACTTCAGAAGGTGGGGTTTCCATCTCTAGTCCTTCCCCAGAGAATCACGTGTACTTCCATTCACACCACATCAAAGCGGCAGTCTTCACATCCTTGAGGGACTCCAGTTAGGTTCTTTTGATGTGTTCTTTGAATTTGGGGAACAAAAAGAAGTCTGAAATGGTGAGAGGTGGATGGGGTAAGGTTTCCCAATGAAATTCTCACAGGACATCCCTTGCTACCCTCAAAGAATGAGCAGGTACAATGGAAAAAAATTCCTTGGCAAACTCTTCTGGTCTTTTTCTCACCAATAGAGTTTTCTATTTTCTTAAAACTTTTTCTTAATAAGTTACCATGATCATCCTGTATCCTTTGAGAAAATCTATCACGATTACTCTCTTGGCATCCCCCCAATTGATCACCATACCCTGAGCTGATCTTTCTGCCTTGACTTTAACTGGTCAAGCAGATCCCTTCTGAAACCACTGTTTGAACTTTTCTTTGGAATAAACCTGCACTTGCTTGTACAAGGCTAAAAAGTATAGGAATATGTTTTGACCAACCCTCATACAAGAATGTTCATAGCAGCATTGCTCATGACATCCAAAATCCCAAAAGAACTTTTGTAGTCTATCAACTACAAAATACATAAATCTGTTCTGACAATAAAGGGTATATAGTAATGAAAGGATAAAATCTACCACTATGAGCAAATCATCCGAGAAGCTGGGTTCTATGAAGAAAAATGTGGCATCAGGATTGAAGGAAGACTCTTTAGCAACCTGCGATATGCAGATGATACAGCCTTGCTGCTGAAAGTGAGTGAAGAGGACTTAAAACATTTATTGACGAAGATCAAAGAGCACAGCCCTTTGGTATGGATTGCGTCTCAATGTTCTTATCAACTGAGAAAAAATTGAAGTTGTCAAGGGCTTCATTCTTCTTAGATCAACTATCAATACTCACAGAAGCAGCAGTCAAGAAATCAAATGACGTATTGCATTAGGCAAATCTGTTGCACAAAACCTTTTTAAAGTGTTGAAGAGCAAAGATGTCAGCTTGAGGACTAAGGTGCCCCTGACTCAAGCCATGGTATTTTATATAACCTCATATGCGTGTGAAAGCTGGACAGTGAATAAGGAAGACCGTAGAAGAATTGATGGTTTTGAGTTATGGTGTTGGAGGAGAATGTTGAAAGTGCCGTGGGCTGCCAAAAGAACCAATAGATCCATTTTGGAAGAAGTGCAGCCAGAGTGCTCCTTAGAGGCCAAGATGGCCAAACTTTGTCTCTCATACTTTGGACATATTTTCAGGAGGGAGCAGTTGCTGGAGAAGTTTATCATGTTTGGTAAGGTGGAGGGTCAGAGAAAAAGAGGAAGACGAAGCCCAATGAGATGGATTGGCCCAGTGGCAGCATCGATGGACTCAAGTGTGGCAACAGTGGTGAGGTTGGCCCAGGATCAGGCAGTGTTTCGTTCTGCTGTGCGTAAGGTCGCTCTGAGTTGGTACTGACTCGCTGGCACCTAACAACAATAACAATAATCACTCCCTTCAAAAATATGGTGTTGAGCAAAACACAAAAGAATAATTAGAGCATGATTATGCTTCTGGAACGTTTAATAGTTTGTCTACCTGAGCAACTCATACAGAGGTGGTAACATTTTAAAGGGGAGCATGGGAACAAGCAACACAAAGTCCAAGATACTGATTGTTTCTGGGAGGAATGATGGTTATGTCCGGTCTCCAGATCTGTTGGTTTGTAAGTGCTAATTTATTATTATTCCTCAAGGCATACAGAT